AAAAAAAAAAAAAAGACGAGGCGTATATCCGTGTGGGCGAGTCCTAAAACCGTTACCGTGTAAACTCATCCTATACTTCTTGCACTCTAACTATAGTTATACATCTATAGAACTGTTCTTTCTTTAATTCTAATTCAACATGATACTTTGAAAATTCTAAAAACATACTAATACCATTACTATATTAGATTTAATACAAATGTTAGAATATTTTTGTTAATGGATTCTGTTGTATGTGTTGCAATATGAAAACGAAATGTGAAAGTTTCAAATGTGAAATAAAACAAGAAACAACACTACAAGTGATCTTCCAACGTTACATAAAAGTATCAAAGTTATCTCGAGTTAAATTGTTATTAAGTAATATAGGAAGAAAAAATAAAATATATTATAATAAATAATACGAATTTTTTTTTTTTTTTAAATATGATTATTGCAAAGTAAACTAAAAAGACAAAAAAAACAATAGAAAATAATAATAATAATAATACAATAAGTTGACATATATCAAATCAATCTTATTTTATTGTTATTATTTCAAACGTGACTATCAATTAAATGAAGATATTTCAAAGATTGTTTTACTATAAGATGATTATCTAATATAACAAACGTAATACGAATATTATATGATATCAAGTTTGTATGATAATTTTTAACACTTAAAAAATAAACAATACATATACTTTTACATGATAACAAAAAGATTATTAAGAATAATTTATCTTTCTTTTTATATATATAATAATAATAATAATAATAATAATAATAATAATAATTATAATAATAATTATAATTCATTTCAAGGAATTAATCCTTATCCTTATCCTTAATCTAATTTCAAAGATCTAATTAAAACGGATATTACATCTTCACATAATACACTTAAGAATTTATCTATTAAAAATATCTTATGTATATATATAATATATTCAAAGTGTTGTAAGCTTTTGATCATAGTTCATAAGTTGAAATAAACTTGACTCACGTATTCGATTGGACAGATTGGCATCAGTGTAAGGAGAACGTGTTTGATAAAATGCTACAAGCTAGTATAATAAACGTCAAGTTAAAACGTTATTCTAATACCGTCATTACATAATCGTATTCGTGATCGTACTAACCATTTTACAATTGGTTAAATCCATCTCACCTCCCTTCCTCCATCATATAAAACTTTATTCTTTTATTCCATGGACCTCATGACAAATAGTAAAAAGGTATAAATACTTCAAAAAAAAAGAAATAAACATGTGTCAGAAATGATAATAGAAGAAGGTTAGATAATAAAAACAAAGATTTATTTACGAGGTGAGAAATAAACGATAATATTAAGAATGTTATTATTATGATGTTGGTGGTGGTTAAATAAGTGAGTCAAATGTGTTGTTAAAATAAATTGAAATGTTTGATAAAATTATTTTAAGTGTTATATACAATTATTAGTTTAAATATTATATATATATATATATATTAAATTTTAAAAATTTATAAATTAATTTTAAAATATTAATAATAATATTATAATAATTATATAAATATAATTTAATATCTTAATATATATATATATAAAAATTACGTGTCACGTTGTTTGTCCGCAATGGACTCCTAAACTACTGAACCGATTTTAATCAAATTTAGCATACTGTGTGCAGTTTCATCCAACTTGAAAGATAGGATAGTTTATATCTCAATTTATAATCGCAATAATATTTTATTAAACGCGAATTATTTGTTTATTAACAAAGAGTCATGATTATCTCTGTTAGTTCGATAAGATTCTAACAGATGGCGATATAAGGTAATTCGTTGACTTAAGACGTGTGTATCGGACTGATTGCACCCCTAGTATACATATATATATATATTTAATTGTAACAATTAATTTAGATAATTTTTAAACAAAATATAATATTTATTTATAAAACAATAATATATATATATATATATATAATTTTACGAAATAGTAGTCTATTATTTTCAATGACTTTGGTCCACCATCTTTTGGATAACTGCCGAATTTCTTGACGATGAAAAAACAAACACAAACAAAAAAAAAATAACCAATTTGTATTATCATACGTGTGCCATAAAATGAAAACTTCTATTATTTCAAATAATTAAAGTTATTCGAAGTATTTAAATAAAAAAAAATTTTTTTAAAAATGAAAAAAATGTTTCCCCCCCCCCCTCCTAATGAGAATAATGAAATATTTATTTCACGGTTAACGATAATAAAAGAAGAAATGAATGTTACGTTGCGTTCGTGTCAGGTGCCTGATGCCATTTTGAAAAAAAATATCGTTATCGTTTTTGCAAACGTGATATATCTATAGAATGAATTCCGATAAAAAAAGAATGAAAAAAAAAAAAAAAAAAATAGCATATTACAAGGACGGTACCAAAACGTCGTAAAAAAATACACGTCTGATACTCCAGCACGATAAATACTATTGNGTTACTTCAGGACATTTATCATATGTATTTGAAGTACTAACTAAACCACCAAACTGCATAAGTCCATTATCTAAAAAAAAAAAAAAAAAAAAAAAAAAAAAAATAGCATATTACAAGGACGGTACCAAAACGTCGTAAAAAAATACACGTCTGATACTCCAGCACGATAAATACTATTGATTTCAATTCTCACGTTGGTCACAACCTTCCGTGTATGTATTCTTCTCTCTCTCTCTCTCTCTCTCTTTCTATTCTTTCTTTGCTCTGAACAAAAAAAATCGATGTGCCCAGGTTATTTTATTTATATCTATGAACGAGATATTTAACTAACGAACAATATAATATATATATAAATGAATATGTAAAACTATATAAAAACATAATATAAATTTCCTACTCATTAAATTTGAATTTACACAAAAAAAAAAAAGAAGATAATTCATCAAAAGTATTGTCAAATTATTAAAAATAATAAACAATAAAATAATAATTTATTTTATTATAATAATAATAAAATACTAATTTAACAATAAAATACTAATTACATTAAAATACTAATAAAATACTAAATGTTTGTTACACTGATACTATTTTGATCTATTAAAAAGTATATTACTTTGTTTCCGCCATTTTTTTTTTATAAGCCATCTGCAGGAAAATAACGAAAACAAAGTTATTAGGTGTACAACATGTTATTTTATTATTAAATATATATAATATATATTATTGTTACAATCGATATATATTTTGATCTATTAAATGTAAAACTTTCCGCCATTTTTATTTTTATTAAGCCATCTGTAGGAAAATAGCGGAAACAAAGTTGTACACCTAATAACAAACACACCTATAAAAAATAGATACTTTAATTATCTTATTATATTATTGTTACACAAATACATATTATAATCTAACAAACACATGTATACATTTATATTATATGTTGTATCTGTAATAACAATATTATTAGATATTATTCTAATAGAAAAAAAAAAAAAAGACAAAATCAAAATTGAAACCGAATGTATGATAATAGAATGTACTCTTTTTTAGTTCGATTACAAAATAAGTGTGTTGTAAAAGTAACCACAAATTCGGCTACCAACGGTGTCTCTCTTTCTATTCTTACGTTTCATATGGGCTATTTACATTCGACGCCTGACACCATTCCGATAGGCGGATGATGTTCCGGGCCAAACCGAAAGAGACTACATTGTTCGCCAAAATACGCGCGCACGCGCACGCGCACACTCACCTACTACGCGACACACCTGAGCAAATGTAGTAATAAAAAAAAAAGAAATTAAAGAATCAAATCAATTCAATTTCGTAAAGTCTGCTACAAAACCTTATATACAAATTGTATATTGTTATTAAAACATATTAAAAAAAAAAAAAAAAATAAAATAAAATAAAATAAAACGGTTCGCCAAAATACGCGTGCATGCGCGCGCACCTACTACGCGATACACTTGCGCAAATGTAATGGTAACAAATAAAATTTAAATAAATTTAAAATGTTTAGTACAATGCATTTTATATGTTCGTTGTATGCAACCAATCACGAAGGTCGTTTTAAAAAAAGAAAAAACAATTGTAAGATTCCGCCGTTTTGTTCGTTTAAGAATTTCAAATAATTCACATTCAAATATTTTGACATTATAATCGATGCAAAAAGTTTAGTACAAGTTATAATAAATATTTGAATACGAGACTATAAATAGTATCACACTATATATATATATATATGTATACCGGGTCTTTGCTTGAGAGGTTATCATCATCAACTTATGGTTAAGTATACTTACAAATACGCATCGTTTACGCATCATAGGAAAGATAACGAGATCAACCCGGTTCTGACCGTTCCTTCAAACCAACCAAACCTGAATCCTCAAACGCGTGCGCGTATATTAAAATGATATCGATGTAGGAATTCTTCTACTGCTAAAGACGAACGACCGGTCATGAACTCTTTGCAAAACTTTGAAATTATTCTATAGAAACAACTTTTACAAATACTTTTACAAATATATCGAGAATGATTATAATAACCGAAAATTTGTTTTGTTAGTATCTTTTATCGTTTATTCTTATTACTTGTTTATTGATTCGTTTCTTCCATTTTCTTCATTTTTTGTTTCTTTTTCATTATTTAAAAAAAGTTTCCGATTACTTCCGCATAGCGTCGCCACAATTCTTCGCGATAGATATTTCTAACGGTAATAAATCTTTGATTAACTTTCGAAAAAAAAAGGGAAAATAAATCGCGATAAATTCAATTAACGAATATAAATTGTTTTAAATATATATATATATATTTTTTCAAATAAAATAAACTCGATTGAATTAAAACAAAACCATTCTTCTAATATACATTAGTAATATATTACCGTATAACTATTATAATCACATAGAAAAAAAAGAATAATAGAAATAGAGATAAATAGATAGAATGAATGAATGAAAGAAAGAGAGAGAGAGAGAGAAAGAGATAAAGAGAAAGGAAAAGAGAAGAAAGAATAAAAGAGAAAACTACTTACTCGTTCCTCCCGATAATATCCAATAATGTTGAAGATGCATTTGCAAAAAAAAAAACAAAATACGTATACACTTAAAAACTCGTATTATTTATTTTACACGTTTTAACTCACGATAGATTACACCTCGTTTTTCGTTCGCGGCCACGTTTTTCCCGCGCTCGGAGTATCTTTAAATATAACAATAATAACGATAGGAGGATTAACCAACGCACTAATCGATGTCAACAGTTCGACGGATCGTCGTGAACTGACCAACGGCCGCGCAAAATCCTACCCCCACCACCACCACCATCTCACCACTAAGAAAATACGTTTCACACGCGCCAATCGTAAATGTAAACACGATGACAACTGGATGTGGGATACATAATACCCCCCATCGTCTTGACGAATAATTTAACCGATTATTATCTTCTATTACCTTGACTGACGACGAGTCTCTTCCCTTCCCCTCTCCCCACTCTTCCTTCCTTCCTTCCTTCCTTCTAAAAAGCTTTTTATTATTTTATTATTCCTACATCCATCTTAACTTCTATATGTTTTTCTCTTTGAATATACGAATTAATGCTTGCCAAATCTCTTACGATTTATATAATCGTATTTTCCCTGCATAAACATCGATCACTCGATCTTTCCCTACTCCCCCACTCCCACCACCACCATTTTCTACCTTTCCTCCCACTCCTTACAATCTTTTCCCCCACCTTTACTCAACTTCATTTCAAATTACTCGCGCCTTTTTCGTTTACTTATTTTTATATATATATATATATATATATATAGGTGGAAATTTCTGGACGAAGTTTCGCATAACTAATTACGAAATAGAAATGTTTTGAAATGTTGTCATGTTATATTATTGATAGATATAATTTGTTCAAATACACATTTGACTGAAATTAATTTTAAACTCATGAATATATATATAATCACTTAAGTCTCTTTTAATTTAATATATCCTATTAATAGATGATTTTAAGAAGGATTTCTTAATAAAATGTAATTGTTATTTTATTGTAATTTTGTACGGATAAAATGTATTATTTACACAGGATCACATATTGTCATGCTATTTTACACGCGTTATGGATATTAACATTTGGTGTTCAACCGTATATACAATTTTTCATAGGATATTTATAAAATATACATATATAGATGTATTTGTCTGTAAAAATAAATATTTCTATTTATAACGACGTTGAGATTCTTTCATATAAATTAAATTATACGATGTATTCATTAAAAAGATGAACTATAGATAAGGAAACTATTAATAATAATTAAACGTGATTACTAATTTTCAAATGGATGATATTTCTATATAAAAAGAGAGAGAGAGAGAGAGAGAGAGAGAGAAAGAGAGAAATATGAAATACTACTATTATTTTATATGTATATTATTTGTCATGATTAATTTTATTTAATGTTTGATATGAATAAGTACTTTTCGTTGTTTAACCTTTAATCAATATGAATATGTATAAGGAATTATTAAAAAAAAAAAAAAAAAGAAGAAAATAAAAGAAAAATGCATGGAACACTCACGCGATTGAAATAAAACTTCTTAAGTCTCTCCTACCATCTCTCCCGGAAGTTTTATACGATCGATATTTACCTGTTTCTCTCCCCCCCACTACTCAAATAACAAGCTTCTTCTATAAACTTGTAAAAGCTGTCAATAGAAGTTTCATTTCTAAAATATCTAATCTTTAATAAAAATACTTTCTAAATTGTCTAACTTTATAAAAATTGATTATTCTTCTAATATGCAAATTAGTGAATTTTTGTTTATACCATCACCTAGATAACAACAGATAATAAATTGTATAATAAAAGAAATTTTTTTTGTTTTTTTTTTTAAGTACAAAGACATGTGTGTGTGTGTGTGTGTGTTTCTTCATTTCTGTTAATTATAAATAATTAATATAAATAAAATAAGAAAATTATGTTCCTTTGCAGATCATAAAGTTTGTCATCGTTCAAATAAAACATTAAAAATTGCACATGAATTAATTTTCAATATTAACAATTTTCAGTATCCATTAATGGTTCAATTCCCATAGTCCAAATCAATGATACATCTGTACTTACAGTTACTTCAGGACATTTATCATATGTATTTGAAGTACTAACTAAACCACCAAACTGCATAAGTCCATTATCTAAAAAAAAAAAAAAAAAAAAACAGTTGTAATTTAATATTTTATAGTTAATATTATTTTGTCAATGTACTGTATATATCTATATATACCTAAATTCCATTTTAAACCAGTTGTTGATATGTGATTAGCAGGTGCACCAATTGGTAATAATCCACACCAATTGTTTCCTTGAAGTAATATGCTAGGTATCCTTATTTTGTGAAAACCTGACTTTAACAGCCACGTTAACGAATCACTTGCAATTTGTATTATCTATAAAAAAAAAAAAAAAGAATAAATATTATCTATTATCTATATTTAAACACAACAAACATCATTGTCAACAAATTTACCTGTACATTGGGTATAATCTTTCCAGATTTATAAAGTGTATTAATGTTTCCAAGTAAATGATCAAATCTACCAAAATTTTCAACTATTACGTATACAGCGTTTAACTGTAAAAGATAAAATATGTTTTATAATTGAACATGTATTAAAAATGCAATAACAATTGAAATTGAAATTGTTATAAATTGAATTACATTAATATTTTCTTCCTTAGCATGAATGTTCAATTCCATTAAAGCTTTTGTATAATCTGTGAACATTTGATCAGGTGTCATGATAACTTTAGAACCAATATCTTGTAATTTTTCAATAGTACACTTCGATGAACTATCCATGTCACCAGTAATAAGATTTGGAACATATTTATTATAATTTCCATTAAAAATGTCTATTCCTTCATTGTCCAAATAATTTAACCATCTGTGCGTACCACCATCAACGGTAATAGTCACTTGTGCTACAAACAAACAAACAAACAAACAAATAATTTGACACATTAAACATATTAACAGTTGCAAAATAACACATGTTTTTATTCTATACAAATGTTACCAACCATTTTCCCAAAGTTGAAACATCAGATTGTTCTTCAAACGTATTGGACTATTTAAAATAATGACGGCATATTTGTAATCACTGGTCACGTGAAAAATATTAAGAGGATCCCAAACATTTTTTTCTATTTCCACTTTATGTTGCATTTCCAATTTATATACTTGATGAACTAGATGTGCGAAGAGTAACAAGAAATGAGGTTAAGTCACGCGGTATAATAAAAGGCACATGTATGTATCTATCTCGAAATTGTAATTAAAATCTAAAATATCTATTTATTTTGTGATTCAAACAACACTGATCGAACGATCGATTACACAGCCTATCGAAAACTATTTTAATTTGAGCAATCATCTTACATAACAATTATTCAACTAATATGAACAAGAGAACTTGACGTCCATTTTTTAAAATAATTATTATATTAATAATCGCACATTTATATAATATATTATTAAACAAAATCACTTAATTACATTGAATAATACATTTTAAAAATGATTTACAACATTTTCGATTCAATTTGAAATCAAATAACCTCACTATTTGATGTATATACATATTATGTATATATAACATACATATGTATATATATATATATATAAAAGGTAAGTCACACACACTAATTTTAACACTTCAAATATGCTTCAAATACCTTTTCGTTTTGAAAAACACGTCAAATTTCTTCAACAACAAAAGTTGAATGGATTATGGTTGTATGCTTTTGTTTTTCAACAGCATAATCGTTCATTCGTTCGTTCGTTCGTTTACATAGATATGTATTTACACGTATCATGACATAAATTAAAAATAATATACAATAAAAAATATAATTAAAATATTGAAATAACTTTAAATGTAATTACTTGGAATATTATTCGAAGTAAAAGCTATGTAATAATGAATATATTATATGAATACCTTTTTTTTTTTAGTATGATGCAATTTGGAAAAAAAAAGTTGTCCTTCCATGTAGGTCAAAATTATCAAAATTTTGATAACAATAATGTTGAATTATGCAATAATTTATTTGACTATGTTAGAGTTGGTGGTATTCAATGACACGTGCTGTTTATTTAAGATTTCGTAAGATGTGACTTTTCTAAATTTATTTTGGCAGTAGGAAGAACGAACCTTTAACAAAAATAAGAAAATACAAATAATAATAATAAAAGTGTGTATATGATGTGTGGTGATTTTATTATTATTATTTTTTAAATGCTTATAATAGTTCTTATTTTTATCTGTATTTTCTTTTATTATATTAGATGTATTATACACATTAAGAAGAAAGAATATATATATATAATAGTCAAATTATCAGAATCAGCTGTTAATCCTAAATCATTGAAAATTATGTTACCTCACAATGTCTTCTACAATTTGGATTTGGAAACAAATATCTGGCCTTGCAACGAGATATAATGATGTCGTATATGCACGTCCTATGATTTCACATTCTTATGAATTTCTTGTTTATTTTGGTGGTGATATTCAAGTATGTACAAAATTATCTTATTCCTATTCTTAGATTTGATAAATTTTATATATATATATATATATATAAACATATGATTTGTTATTTAGGATTTTCAAGATAATATGATAAAACATGTTGAAAAGAAAAAATATACAGAATGGAGTTTGAACAATACTGCTAAGATTTTATCAAACAATTTTCCTAAATATCACGTATTTGTTATACGTCCATCTAGGTAGACATTTCTTCTTTACTATTATATTATAATTTAATCAACAATCTGTATATTACAATATTACATAATGTTATTATTACATCAGGATATCCAACTTATTTAGTTGTTTTGATAATTTTGTTAAATGTAACAATGAATATGGAATTCCAACATTTTCTTCAACATTCAATGCTTTAAATAATCTTCAAGAACTGATTAGATCATTTTGTACACAACTTAATATATTGGATATTAATAAGGTACAGTTTTCCTAATGAATATTATTCTTTAACATCATCTATTAATTAACTCTTTGCCATTTTACAAATTAATCATTCTTATTCTTCAGGATACAGGAATATATGAACCTGATAAAGTAAATCTAACATTAATGGCTTTCAGTAAAGGATGTGTAGTATTAAATCAATTTCTTCATGAATTTCAATATTATCAATCACAATCGATACTTGATACAAGTATGACCAATTTTATAAATAATATAAAAAGTATGTGGTGGTTAGATGGTGGTCATGGTGGTTACAAAGATACTTGGATTACAGATGCAAGTGTACTTGAGTCATTAGCAAAGTTAAGTAAGTCAAAGATAATAATAATAATAATTAATATCTTCATGAATAAATTTAAATATCAATGTATAATTTTAAAATACAATTTATAGAAATAGATATTAATGTTCATGTGACACCATATCAAATTGAGGATACTTCTAGACCTTGGATAGCTATAGAAGAATCTAGTTTTGTTAATACATTAAAAAGTTTAAATGTGCCTATAAAACGTACTGTACATTTTCAAAATAAACCACGTAGTATAATAATGCATTTTAATATACTTAAAATAATACAAGAATAAACATAAATTTTAATATTAAAATAATTTATATATAAAAATATGGTCACAGGCACACTATTATTATCTTACAAAAATGAATCCATTTAAAAAAAAAAAAAAAAAAGATAAAACTTTATTCTTATTTCTTTGAATTATCAAGAAAATCATGTAATAATCTTTCAAAAATGTTATATGCATTCAGGATAAAAAAAAAAAAAAAGAAAAAAAAAAACAACTTGTGGAATTATATTACAATTATGTACATATTATATGCATAAATAATAAATGTAAAATAGGAATGTACTTATAAAAAGTAAACCTATTTTTGTTTTGTTTTGTTTTGTTTTGTTTTGTCCACATATCTTCTTTTTTATGTACAATGCAAATAGTCTTAAATTCCATGAAAAATATTTCAGACGAAAAGACTATTTCTATTAACAATTATTTGTACATTTTGTTTGGCGATAAGTAATACTTTTTGATTCTAAAATTAACAATATGAATTATTACAAATATGAACACATTTCATTTAATCAAAATGACATTTATAATATTAAAAAAAAAAATTATATCTTACCATTAGGCACATGTAATAATAAAATTTCTGCCCATTCATCTGAACCATCGCAACAATCGCAATAACCATCATTAACCTTATATGATGGAATTTTTCCTAAACAAAAATTATATTAATGATTTTATTTTGTTCTATAAAATCATTAGTTATATATATATATATATATATATATATATATATAGGTAATATACCTTTAAATTTCAATGATGATTCTTCACAATAAAATGTACCATTGTTGCATGCATTTGTACCTGGTTCATCGCTACCATCTAATGGACAATCACAATAATCGTCATTTATTTGTATAAAATCTATTTCTCGTTTGGAAGAAAAACAGACAAATTTGTCTCTAGCGTTTGGAAGATATTTGATAATGTCTTCATTACGTGTACCACGTAAAGAAACCGTACGACCATTTTTATCACGTATTAATTTAGAATATTTTGATTCGTTCCATTTTGAACGTATATTTCCATTTGCTAAAATGTAATTTGATGTTTGTACCGAACCGGTTATTAATTTACCTACTGCAACGGTCACATTGTTCAATTGTTTGAGATAAAATATTTGTTGCACGAAAAATATAATACTAAATATAAGTACACATAATAACATATATTTAGATTTTGATCGGCCAAAACGACGTTTCCAAAATGTTTCACTTTTCATATCTGTTTTTTTTGTTTTTTTTACTATATCATCGAGTTATTAATATTAATTTAGAATAACATACACAAATGTGCAACAACCATAGTGTATTTTTTTACGTTACGTACACTATTTATTATAACAACACTACGTACATCACAAAGAAATAATATTTAATGTTTTTCTTTTTCTTTTTTTTTTTACAAATGTTATAATTTTAAAATCAGCAGACAAATCTTTTTTTTAGTATTGTCTAAACACAATTAACACCGTACTACTAACGTGTGTTTATCAACCATTTGTCAAAAACAGATAGCAGCGCCAACAGTAGTAGAAATGTAAACTAACATTTGAAATTTTAAAAAATTAACTCCACTATTTCACTAATTCATATTATTAAATGCACAAAAGTATAAATAAAAGTATTACCATAACTATAATTTTATTAAGGAATATGTAGATAACGATTTTTATTTATTTTTTTATGCAAGTCAATTTGTTCGAATTGTTCTAACGTGTGTTTATCAACCATTTGTCAAAAAAAACATATAGCAGCGCCAACAGTAGCAGAAATGTAAACTAACATTTGAAATTTTAAAAAATTAACTCCACTATTTCACTAATTCATATTATTAAATGCACAAAAGTATTAAAAAAGAAGTATTACTAACTGTAATTTTATTAAGGAATATGTAGATAACGATTTTTATTTATTTTTTATGCAAATCAATTTGTTCGAATATTTAAAATAATGCTATAATAATATATAATAAATTTGTTGAACTTATAAACAATGACATCTTTCACAAATATTTTATTATTATTAGCAACAAAAGAGAAGCGCCTTTTTTTTTTTTTTAATTACAATATTACGTTTATAATCCCAAAATATTATTATAATTCATGCACTATTATATACAGCACTTTCGTTCTTTATGCATCAAATTTTGAAACATTTCTTTTATAACTGATCCGACATAACATGAAGACATATATATATATATATAATGAAAAATAAAAAATGGTTTCTCTTAAAATTTGAAAGGAATGTAAGAAATAAAATATAATTATTTATTACAAAATATTTGTTTATCTAACAATTTTGTTGTTGTGCAACTCATAAAAATAATAATAATAATTTAAAAAAGAAAAATCTCGCGCGTAAATAATATCAATATTTAAATTTAAAAAAAAAAAAAAAAAAAAA